ACAATTAATGGGTTGAAGCAATTTATTTCAGAACGCCTCTAAATTGATAAATTGTGGTAAAATGAGGTTTCGTTCAACATAGATTCTTCTTTGACATTGTATTTATTTATCATTTTACTTTCATTGAGCACAAACTTTATGTTTCGAGAATATAATCTGCTATATGTACGGAGTTCCCCTTTATATCTACATCTAAAGTTTTGTTTACCAAACTTGTGGCTAGGTTTTTGCAAACTGCAGGCATTTAAAAAGCACACTATTACAACCTATCAGTCTTGTAATGATAATTTCCAATGCAAATCAATGATCATACCAGTAGGATGATGGTAGCCCTAAAACACTCCTCTTAAAATCAAGGCTTTTCATTTAAGATTTACCAGTACCTAAATCCACAAGGACAGCATGTCCAGCCCTGCTTGATTGTAATGTTTATTTTTTATAGCAGACGCTGTGAACTGCATCAAAATTGGACTATTCAATGCAGGTATAAACAAATGTGAACAAATGTACCAAGTTATTTTATATTCCCCTCAGCCCAATTCTGACCTTTAACCCCATCAATCCGGGACGGATTGTCTTTTGCAATAAATAAATAAACCCGCCCAAGCCAGTCCTCACCATGAAATTAAGTGTGTGTGCGTGTCCTAGTGTGATTTAAAACAGCTTTTCTTGTATATAAAGTCCAACTTACTTTACTTCCTTCGCTACTCGTATTCTCGCTGCCGCTACTTGTGGCGTCAATCTGTCAACGGAATGGTTTCCCGCGTCCATTTTTAATGATAAGATTTAATTATTAAATATTAAAAATTTAATTTTAAATATTAAGAATTAAATTTTAAATAAAAAGTTTTAAGTTTTAAATATTAATTTAAAATGTCCCTCCAGGGCTTCAATACATTATTGATCTTTCATTCATGAACATTGACGTGTTTTTTTTTGTTTTTTTTTTTTTGCATTTTCAGTAACCATCACTTTAACCTTAATATGCAGAACATGATCAGCCGGTGCAAGATAGGTGGTGTAAACATGCATAGAAAGAAAATAGTCCATTAAACACCAAAAACGTGTAAACTAAAAATGTCACAGGCTCGGTCTGATTGAACCTGTTCGTGGACGGTAATGGTTAATGCAAGCTACCGTCCATGCTCAATGGAAGTATTCAATATTTATACATTGAAATGGTCTGACTACAAATTGAGTTCGCCCAAAAGTGTCCATTATCAGAGCAGATTATGTTAGAATAATTGACAAATTTTGTCCTAAGTCGAGAGGTACAAGCTTTGGAGTCAGTGAATAAGAGGTATTGTATTGGCTCATCCAGTTAACAGGAGTAAGGTATGTCTAACAAATTAAATTTAACTTTTTTATAATCAAAGATTATTTACACATGTACATATAACCGCACATGATAGTTTTAAATTCTTTAATCAAATATTGCTTTTGAATTTGAAAATATGACCGCAGGATGTCAGATGACAGGGTTCCTTGAATTGGAATGTGAAAGGGGTAATGGTATCTATGCAACAATTATACACAAATAAAATGTATTATTCAAACATTACAACTTGGGAATAAAAGAAAAGAGAAATCAGTCTAAAAAACGTACTAGTATTTATTAATAAAAACGTGTTGGCATGAAAATGGCCATGGCTGGATAAAAGCATTTTAATTATTTAACCTATTGAAATGTCTATGTGTTTCGATTTAAGACTACTAAATGTCTTTACTATAACTGTTTTTGCCCCGGCAACGGTTGCAAAAACGTGGTAGCACATGCCAAAAAGCCCACAAGCAAAGTGAAACATTTGACTGTGGGCTTCCGCCAAAGCGGGCTACCACAGCTAAACTTTTTCCCTACCAAGCCATGGACGTGAATGTGTTGAGAGCGCCCGATAAATTGTATTCAATAAAACGTGGTTACCAAAGTCCGACAAGTGTGTGCCATCCGGCCTATACAACCTAGGGTTTTCTGTAATATTCACGAATTCGAAAACCCAGCCAAACGCCGCCCCTGGCACCCTCCGCACACATCCCCGGGAATTCACCTAATGGAGTGTAATAGCGAACTCAATGTTTTCGGCCTTTTTTAAATTAAATTGAAATAAAACAGTTATTTCTTTATAAGAAAATAATTAGATATCATTGTATGAATAATTCCATACAAAAAATAAAGTAAATACACAAGTTTACGCAAAAAATGACCTTATTTATTCAAAAAAAAAAAAAACGATATCAGGCACATAATGCCAATATATATAACATTTTTTTTTACAACAGCATAAATTGCTCTTCTTAATACATTAATGTGTATTAAGATCCGGTAACGGTTTCTTAATACAATTACGTACTTTATTTAAATAGCCAAATTTCGGATCGCCGGCATTCACATTACAGCCATTTTGGCAGATCCTAAAAAATTAAGTTTTTTCCATGAAATACTATAAAATTATCGGATGTAGGATTTATAAGCGTAAGATCGCCAACGGACTCTGTATTTTATATCATTTATAGCACAACCCTCACGGAATATATTAGAAGCCTCGCCGATTCGAAAAGAGTGTGCTTTAAATTCATTTTTTTTTTCTGACCTATCAAGTTCAAAGTCCTTTTTAATACTGAATTGAATTGAAAGGATGTTAAGGGACTTCCATCGAAATGGCAGAATAACGGCCCTTGCACGTTACTTAAATGTAAGAACTCTGTCAGTTTTTCATAACAGAGTTTGTTTCGGTCAGTTATCGGAATATCAATAGAACATCCTACATATCTCTGGTCCGTTTTTGAACCTGATGAGATCTTGAATGATCGTTACGTCATCTACATTTAAAACTACCTTTTTTTATTTCTTTTATGGCAATGCAAATTCGCTTATTCTTAACAGACCTATGTAGGCAAGACAGAAAGCATCAGAAAAATTAAACCTTCATATTGTGATCTGCAAGCGTTAGGTAGGGCTGATAAAAGCTGTATCAGTACATTTTGTGTTATCGGGTGACTTGTGTCATGCAATTCGATAATCTACGGAACCCTTCTAGCATACTATTGACTATGAATTGTTTTGTATTGTCAACTAAATTGTTTATTTTATTAAAATAACTTATTGTTGAAACGTGAACAGCTACTGTTGAAAATGAGTATTGACGCAAAGACATGTATGCAATATATTCCGTTATATATATTTCTAAATGGCAGTTATCTACCCATTTTTTTTTTTGTAAACATAACATAACCATTGAATTTTTCAAAAAATTGTTACAGTTAGCGAAATATTTGCATCTTCTTTCATGCCTTGGTTGACTAATAAAATGGAACGGTTTCTTTACATACGACATGGCGCCATAAAAACGTCACGGCCACTGGGAATAGCTTTCGATATAAAATTAAATAGACCAACGACTGATTACAAGTAAATCTTTGAGTCTGATCTTTTTAGCGTTTCTCACCCAAACGAGACTGTTTTTTCGCTTTCCTTATTTTTTTAAAGGCACCTTGACCATTTGGTTGATTGAATCAATTTCAAGACCCAGGTATGTTATAGTTATAACAGGTCCCATCCATTTTTCGACATTTAGGGTGACACCAAGTTCATTCTAAATTTTATCAAATGTTCGCATTAAATTCAAGCATTTTTCAAAAGATTTTTCTGCCATAAAAAATCATCTAGTAGGTGGTCAAAGTAGTATGATTTTGATTCTTTAGACACAGACCATTGTAAAAAACTTTGAAAAAATTTCAAAAATAAACATGAACATGATGCGCCTTGTGACAGCATTTTTTGAATCCAATATCCCTTCTCGGTTTTTATACCTAATAAATCAAAATCACCTGGCCATATAGGGCATAAATTAAATGCAGAAGAAATGTCAGCTTTTGCCATAAAAGCAGAACCCCCTATTTCTTGAACTATTCTTACTGCATTGTCGAATTGTGAATGTTGAACATGGCAAAATTCAGTATCGATAAATTCATTACTACTTTTGCCTGGTGGGTATGAAAGGTGTGTTATCAATCTAAAGCACCGTTTTGTTTTGGTACGAGACCTACGGGATTTATTCTCAGATTAGTAATTGGCCTTTTTTGAACAGTCCTAGGATTCGCCCAAGTATAAATTCGTCGTGAAGCTTTTTACTTAATAAGCATTTTTGATCAATTGCCGATTTGAGATTTTTGGGGAAAAAATAGGGATTCTTGGTCCCGTATATTCGAGTTTAAAACCAGCGCTGAATCCTTGTAAAATGTAATTGGCATTATCCTTATTTGGGCATTGAAAGAGTTTATCAACGAGAACCTAGATATTAATTGGTGAAAACCCTAGGTCCAATAGGCACTCTTTGAGCTGGCAATTTAAATACATAACGCGGTGTGAATTGCGCTGTTTGTTTATTTGCATAACAGTGTATTGAAGGGTGGTTACCAAAGCATTTGATGCAAACGTGTTTGTAAGTACAAATGATCTATTTGTACAAAAACCGTTGTTATTAAAGTAATAACATTTTTTTTTTGAATATTCAAAAGATGCCGGCTGGTTTTAAGACTGAATAGTCTGCATATATATCATCCACAATTCTGAGTCAATAGTTTGCCACTTTATACTTTAAGCATAAATTACCTATCATACTCAAACCATCCGACATTTCTTGATGCTGCTAAATGAATGTTTGCAAAATATTGTAATAGGTTATTGGCTTATTCTGGATGTTTCATAATGAAAATACTCATGTATACCACGAATGTATCTGACCAAATTTCTATTTCTTTTTTTTTTTTTTTTTTTTTTTTGCTCTTGGCGGAAAGTCTTGGGTACTCATTATAAGTTCCCCGTCAACAAGTTGAATCTTTTGTTTATTTTATATTTTCTAACATATTCTTCTTTGGCAACAAAGTGTGTAACTAAACTCTACAAATTGATTGCTCCATATTTTATCTTTAGTACTGACAGATACACGTGCACCTAGCATTGTACCGGAACAAGTATTTATCATGATATTTTTTAACTTCACCTTTATTAGCCTCTTGATGATGAAGATCAACATCTACCGGAGGTCCGGATTGGCCATCCATTTCGTTTTCTTCCCTTACAGGTCTGTCAGCTGGAGGCATGGCTGTAGAAACAGATGTCCGAATGTTCCCCCTATTATTGACTTGCTGTTGGAGCGTGTCTCGTGTATGGCCACGTTGTTGTCGATGTTTTTAACATTGTCGAAAAATAAAATAATATAAATAAATAAATTAAATAAATTTGTGAAGATCTAATTAAATTATTATTAGATCTATTATCAATTTTTCTTTTGGTGTATTTTATTTATTTCCTACTTTATATATTTAGATTCTATTTACTCTTATCTTTATTTTCTTAGCCTCGATGAAATGACGTCATAGGTATGATGTCACGCGCGTGGATTTCAATGAGACTTATATAATTTTCCCGTTGGAAAACATGACCTGTCATAATCGAACCATATAATCAATATTGTATTTTTTAACCGTTTTATATCTATGCTCATTTATTCATTTATAAGATAATGCTCTAGATTTTAAGTATAGATCTACAGTAGACCACGTGTGAAAACATCATATAAAGATAAAATCTATAGGTTTTAAACTCAAGATCTAGATTTAAATCCAATTTTTTATTTATTTACTAAATATTTCAAAGAAACCGATTGACTTTGACATATATTTAGTGTAATCAAGGCATCCAAAATTGATTTTTTTTAGACTAAGTACTGTCCTTGACGAGAACAACAGCTGGTCATCACCACGTGGTTATTAGATCTGGTCAAAGTTCTTATCTAATAAACCCCAAATATTAAAACAAATAATCATTAGCAGAAATATAAAATGTATCTTAATCTCCTGTGCCATTCTTAATAATATTCGTTGATATTCAAGATTTGAAATATAAATTTTAGATTTTTTAACGAAGATATAGAGGATATTTGTTTGTTTTGCATGTAAGATTGAAATATAATTTCACTGAGTGAACACCAGATGCAATATTTTCACGAGTGGCGTAGCCACGAGTGAAAATATAATAGCTGGTGTTTACGAATGAAATATATTTCAATCTTATATGTAAAACAAATAAATTTTCTTTTTATTTCTTGCTTTTTAAGTGATTTTAAGTATTATTTACTGATTTTGCCGCGTAACGTCGCGCATTCTCCTTTGTGACGTCATCACATCATGACGTCACATCATCAATTTTGAAATATAGTTCTGTTAAATTTCTCTAATTTTGGTACATTTTTAATATGATGTATGGTGACATCGACTTTCTTTTCATAAAGAAGCAAAATTTACGCATCACACCGTTTATTTCTGCCTGTTATTCCATTTAGTTATGATTTTCTTTTCATCCGCATTTAGATATAGTCCGGCTACAGTGAAAATTATATTTTATAAATTTCACTAGTGGTTTATCAGAATATAATCATCTGATATATTACAATAAAACACTGGAAAGCATGAAATAAAAACTGGTCTACCTCTTCTATGGTGAGCCACGATTGAAAGACCGTTCCCAGAATTTGCTCTGCCTTATATATGACATATTCAAGTGTAAGTTGTCTCCCCTGACAACTCTTTTTGAGGCCCTACTGGGGTGTTATAATAAAAAATGTTAAGTTGTAAGATTTCAATAAAAGATTTAATCCTCTAGCGGATAAATCGAATAATATATGTAAAATATTGAAATACATGTAAATATGTTTAAACTTATGGTATAGACTATTTATTGAGTTTTTCAAATTTTGTATTTTTTATTAATTTAATAATGTTAGTCAAAAATAGTCGTTAAAGATGAAATAAATCGTTTACTAGCAAGTTAAAAGGTAGACCCTACTGAGTAATGACATAGTTTATTTTGTTTTTGCATTTTCTGTGTGACTAAGTTAAGATATTATGATGCGTTGACTTGTTAGAATGAATTAATTTGCTCATATAACACGCAAAGCATACAAAAGATTACAAATCGTACGTGTGAAACGCATTTTGCAAAATGTAAAAGTGAAAGAATTAAAAAAGCACAAGACGATGTACAAAAATATTTATGATGTAAATAAAACTAAAACAAAAATATTTATGATGTAAATAAAACTAAAACATAAAGTTTAACGTTATCATTTGCATTTTACGCTAATATGAAATATGAAATAGAAAAAAATATTTTCGTTCAAAGGCCAGTGATTGTATCTATCTTTACATATATTTACATTGATCTATATCTCTACAATTCTATAGATATAATAAGGCGAAAAGCTTCCAAGATTTCACAAATATATTTGCTGTGTGACAATGAATATAACAGATAGAATATAAATATCATTTTAATAAATAAAGGAGGCGTTTCACAAATCATTAAACCGTTTACAACCACAAGAAAAATAAGCAAAATCCATCCATCATCTACAATTAAATCTACATACTCGTATATGTTAAACAGAATTTTAGAGCTTGCGAAACTTTACTTTTGTCGAAAACATCATATCAAATAAATAGCAAAACATTCAGGCTAGAATAAGAACCCTTTTAGTATTTCATGTAAATGATAGGGAATGATGGATGGAACTTGGAAGTTATTAGCTTCACAATATAACGTTTATTATTTGTGTAATACTATATCAAAATATATCAACTATAATTGAGCCGCGTCGCGACAAAACCAACACAATGCGTTTGCGACCAGCATGGATCCAGATCAGCCTGCGCATCCGCGCAGTCTGATCAGGATCCATGCTGTTCGCTTACCAACCATATTACAAGTAGAGAAACTGACAGCGAACAGCATGGATCCTGATCAGACTGCGCGGACGCGCAGGCTGGTCTGGATCCATGCTGGTCGCAAATGCACTATGTTGGTTTTGTCATGACGCGGCTCATATCATTATGATGGATGTCTTGAACATTTCAAGAGACAGCCAAAGTAATGATAACAAATGCATTTTATACATTGCCAAATAAATTTCATGAGTATACAAGTGATAAATAATTGTAAATGGTATATTCAATGTTTCATTTTTATTTTCATTTAAATTCACAAATCGCCTTCTTATTTTAACCCGGCAAAATTTGACTAGAAATTTCACTGCATCTACATCTGACAAATTAAAGCGAATAATAAAAATCACTATTCTTAAAAGAATATGCATTTTAAAAGAAAAGAAAAGAGAAAGAAAAGGATTTGAAATAAAATTTCTTTTCCTAAAGTTATGCCAGCCTTTTCTGAAACCTACCTGTTGATAAAAATGAAATGTTATTTTTTCAATATTTATATTACAGAATAGAGAATGATACAGTAAAACTAAATGGGTTACAATAAAAAAATATACGCAATGATTATACTTTAATAAGCGCAAGCAGATCATTATAAAATAGACATAATTGCTTCTCTACGGTTTCAATAATATCGATTTGCCGGTAATGTATATATCTCTTACATCTGAAACAGTTTTATCTATAACATTAATGATTCTCACATTTAACAAAATGTTAAAATAGTTACTATGGCTACATAGGATACAAACATGTTCAGAGGAAACTACGTGAGAAGAATGTAACTTTGCATGCTATTATTTTATTTATACAAGACCAGGTATCTAAAACTTGGCTCATTGTATCCACAGGTTTTCAACAATGCTGGTATAATTATTTCCGCATTTCCTCTGAAATAGATTTATAAAGCGAAATACAGGTAAAAAGAGGTAAATGATTAAAACTGATATTTTTATCGATTGTGTATAACATATTTACGTAATAATAAGAGTTTCATCTAAATGCAAAGCCTCGATATAAATGTTACATCAATTGAATTTATATCAAATTATGTCTTCTATTTATTTGTTAATTCGAGGGTTGTCCAGAAAGTTCATATACTTGAAATGCCGGTATACGTGTTTGTGTAAATCCAAAATGAAATCATACAATACAAATCGTACACCAATGCGTAGGTACGTTGAATCATTGGGCTGTTCTCGGTGTTATTCCCTGTTCATTCTCGGGAAAAGGACATATAAGAAAAAACATACTTCTTGGCATAAATCTCTTGTTTAGATTTCACCGGTGCCGGTAATTTTGTGTTTTACATAAAGGATCACGTTTTAATTTCGGTTCATATAGATCAAATCCATTGTAGCTATAATGTGACAGAAACCAATCACCCTTCGTGTCGTTTACCCGTAAGAACTAAGATGACACGTTTACCCGCTATTCTATTTCTTTCGTTTTCAACGTCAGTCTCTTCCAAATATTGTTGTAGTGCAATCTTCGATATTTCGATTGTGCTACTTTCGGTCATCCGGAGCGTTTCTTATCGGATACACTGTCACAACCGCTTCCTAATCAGTTTTGAAATTTAAACACAAGTTGCCTTGACCAGTTTGTGGTCGAATCAGTTTTTAAAATAAACGTTCAAGTCTAATTCGGTGTCATGTTACTGTTGCCAATTAAATTGATTATAACATTCCGTTGCTCCGTCCTTAAAATTGCAACACACATTTTAAGAACCTTTAATGCCTATATTCGTCGTGAATAACCTGTTAATTTGCTTATGACGTCATGATTTTCACTTTATATCATTGAATATGAACGAACGAACGAACAAATTTATTTCACATAAACTTTACAGTTTCTAGTGACTAGCCATTACATTTTACAAATTAACATATACGTGTACATAGGACATACAGTTGCGACAAATATCAATTATGTATGCTAAAAAGATTAGGATATAATAATAATAATAATAATAATAATAATAATAATAATAATAATAATAATAAAAACAAAAAAAAATATAAATTAAATTGATCTTACATTTATGGTGATGGACAATATATGTATGACCATGTTTGTTTTATATCATCTCATATATCATCAGAAGTAATAAGAATCATCATGGTATCAATTCGTTTCGCGTAAATTCATAATAGCATGTTTTGCGTTATAATTATTTAATTTTAAATCAGCATAATATTAATGATACATAATTTCGCTTGTTTTATGCTTTTCATGCCATTCTACAAACAATTTGATTGATGAAAAAAGATACCAAATGTTTCTATTTGTTTCATATGCAAAATGCAATGCCATATTAAAAGTAT